TCGCGGATTGAAAGCGCACTAAATGGGACAGCAAGGCAAACAAGTGTATTTTTCTCGGGTATTCGGAAAATTCAAAGGCGTACCGAGTGTGGGATATTGCGAGAGGACAATTGGTTACGACTAGGTCCGTTACGCTAAACGAGAGTCCTCCTTCGCGGTACAAAGATGTTGTTGTTTTAGGTGAACCTTTAGCTCAATGCAATCATTATCATGATGATTTAGACGAAGTAAAGGTGGAAGTACCTGATTTGAACAAGAATAACGAGGATGACGAAATGGACGTTGATGAAACTGCTGACAATGATACTAGTTGGGAAGACATGGTTGTGGATGCGTCTGGAGATCTCAATCAGTCACAAAACTTAGATGTTGTTCCGATTGAGGGGGAGCGCACAGACATACAAGTCATTGACACAAACAATTCGATGATACGTCGTACTTCACACGGATCGGTCGCTGGAAGTAGCAATAATGGTACACACATGCTCTCAGGAATACCTGATCAGTCGCGAGCTATTATAGTTTGTGAGAATTCCCGTGCCCCAGATGATCGAATGGAGATATACTCAGGGTCGAACAAAAGACCTTATAGTACATTCACGTCATCTCGTCTACTCACGAATGATGATTTTGACGATGAGAGGATTGATCTACCGCTTTTAACTGATGGATCACCTGTCGATGGCGAAAATGATGAGCCGGACCCTAAACGTCAATGTGTTGACGATTACGAAATATCGCTTTCTGCTACTGATGTACCAATGAATTTACGAGAGGCGTTACAGTCGATGGACACAGAAAAATGGAAGGCAGCAATTCAAGCAGAAATTAATGCTCATCTTAAGAACCACACATGGGATGCTGTCAATCGTCCTCCAGGTGTCAAGGTCATTGGTCACAAGTGGGTATTTGGTTACAAGTACGATGAAAACGGTCAAATTGTTCGTTACAAAGCACGCTTGGTTGCCCTCGGATATCTGCAAACGCATGGTTTTGATTACTTCGACACATATTCACCTGTAGCATGCTCAAACACGATTCGTGTATTTTTGTCTGTTTGTTGCAGTATGCAATATGTAATTCGACAATTTGACGTGGAAACGGCGTTTTTGAATGGTGATTTGGAAGAAGACGTTTACATGGAGGCACCATATGGAATTGAAATTGCACCTGGAATGGTGTGCAAATTACGACGCAGCTTATATGGATTAAAACAAGCGGCTGCGGTTTGGCACAAGAAAATATGCTCTGTGTTTTCGGCCATGGGCTTCGAACAATGTCGAGCAGACACATGTCTTTTTGTTCGACGCAATAATGCAAAAAATAAGTCACCCACATACATAGTCTTGTATGTGGACGACCTCCTTATTGGATGCAAGTCAGATGCAGAGGCGGACACGATTTATAAGGAATTGTCAGAACATTTTACTGTCAAGTCACTTGGAGCTGCGCGGTTTATTTTGGGCATGGAAGTTAACTACTCACAAGAAAAGGGGGAGTTGGTGTTAAAACAGTCCCAATTTATTATGAAGGTGGTCTCGAAGTTTAAGCAAAATGAAGCTTATGCAGTTCGCAACCCTATCTGCGCAGGACAGGACCTAACTCCTGATGAATCACACCCAGTGGTTAAAGACATTACTTCGTATCGCAAATTGGTCGGCTCGCTGCTGTATATTGCGAATGCAACGCGACCGGACATAAGCTACGCGATGTCAGTATTATCGCAGTACTTCGACCAGCCACGACAGATGCACTGGCGAGCGGCTTTACGTGTTTTACACTATCTCATGGGAACAAAATCGCACGGAATTAAGTATAACAAATCGGACGACAAAAAAGATGATGCTTTGGGCATACTGTGACGCGAATTGGGGAAATGATAAGAAAACTCGTCGATCTACGTCTGGAGTGTTGATTTTACTCGGAGGTGCAGCTGTCGTATACAAAAGCAAACGCCAAAGTTCGGTGGCTTTATCCTCTGCTGAAGCGGAATATATGGCACTGGCACTAGCTACGCAAGAAGTTATGTGGATTCGTTATTTGCTGAAAGAGATGGGTGTCACATGTAAGACTGCGACTACAGTGCACATGGACAACAAGTCGGCTATAAGTATTGCGACGAATCAGGGATATACTCCAAGAGCTAAGCACATTGACCTTAGGATGCATTTTGTTCGAGACCACATTGAGCAAGGTGATATCCAGCTCAAACATGTTCCGTCAGCTATGCAACTTGCTGATTACCTGACGAAGCCGCTTGGTGCTCCACAATTGATGCGACTACGCGATGAAACTGGAATTCGCGAGAGTGCAAGTTGAAGGGGAGTGTAGAGGATCACGAATTACGTCAGTGATGTGTGTGTCGTGAAAAGGACAACTTGCATGGACAGTGTTCTTCGAATGATCTGGATTGTGTGATCAGTTTATGAAGGGTTTATACATTTACTTTAGTAGTAGTTTAACTCTTAATACTACTTTTCATTTGGCAGCACGGTGAAGTAGTTGAGCTATCGTTACAACCTTCTCAGCTGCAGGCAACATGCTGCGCTGTTGGGACCAAGAAACAGCTCTGTCACGGAGCTCCAGATCCAACGCTAAGCGTCAGCACGTGTTGTAGCTCTTAGAGCAGCAAAAGCGTAGCCATGTGTGGGTGGATCGGGCCCTCGATCTTGAGCGTGTATAGCTCACGTCCTAACCACGACAAAGCAGCCACGCCATTCAGTATTAGACCATCTTTACGCAGCAAACGCTTGCCTACAGCCTCTTCCCGTCGCGCCCGCTGATACTCTCGACTCTTCCTTCGCACCAACCATGATCCGCACGTCACTTTCTGCTGTTATTGCCACGACAAAGTAAAGACACTCGTCTACCTGCTTCAAGCTGCAGTACACGCATCTGCTTGCGACAGATCAGCGACGACATATCAGCGACACATCAAAGCATCTAAACCAAGTACCAGGTGATAGCCGCCATAACTAGCTCCTGCGGATTCGGGATTACACGTGGGGAATCCTGATACATAGTACGTTTTACCCAGACGCTCTAGGTCGTGCTACATGTATTAGTCCTCGTAGAAATGCACAAGGCTTAAACCTGTAGGAAAGCTAGGTCTTGTTATCTCGAACTCCATGCGGAAGAATTATTGCCGAGCTCAACGTTAGGCGTGCGCGCACGTATCTGAGGTGATTGTCTTCTGATCAGTCATAAACATCGTCAGCAGTCAGCGCAGTGGAAACCATTATGTCGTCTAGCGGATAGCGGAGTCGCTTATGCTGTCTACTTCCACATGATCCAGCAACGCGCACAGCGGCAAAGCACGGCCATACATCAGCATCAGAAATCACCTTTGGCTAGCAATTGAAAAGCGTCCAATGACCAATGCGACGCTAACGATTGAGTGATGACTAAGGTCGATCTTTCCACCAGCTTGAACAACTTTACTCGCTCGTACCCTTTAGCAACTAGGTTCACGTTCAATCAGCATCCAGCTGTCTTCGCTTCACGATGCGATACATGTTGAAGCTATTTGTCGATCCGGGCGTGGTATGTGTGTTTTCTTTAACGTATTGGAGAACGTGAGCGGCATGCAACACACACACTAAATCGTCGTCACTAGCACATGGGTGCTAGCCACAAAGGTAACGTCGTCTATGATACTCTTACAAGCTACAATGACGATGGGACACTGTTGCAGTCTCCAGCGTCCATGCGTTCAAAGATGAGGTCATGTCGCCCTTCACTAGCGCGTCAAATCGCAAGTTGCCGCCTAAGTAGTTATTCTCTGCTTCGCAATCCCCACTCTTGTGACAAAGTGCTGTCTGGACGTATAGTATTACTGTCGTTGGCTTGCGGTCGCCAATATACTTGTACGGTGGACCCATACGTCAGCTCGAACGCCGGCTTCTTAGTGCGTCAGAGCGACATCGTGTGGTCGCCACGTGCGACGGGCGGTGTCGTACGCTGGATGTCGTTGTGGTAGCGCATGACTCTTTACAAAGTAGCGCTCGACTACGAGATGCTCATAGACAACCAGCACCTCGTCCATTTACACTACGTTCGAGTATGTTTCTACTAGACTTCAAAGGCGGCGTAAACCAAGGCAAAGGTGGTCATCGCCTCTTATTGGACGCAGCATTCAAACCGATTGACGTTCATTTAGCCAGTACTCAAGCAATATGGACAAGGACAACGTGACCTCGCATTTAAGTTGGTATGTATACATGCACTCGACGGCAAACAGTCTTTACATGCAGGTCTATAAGCCCAAGAGTCTCACTTATTTAACTACATTTTCGATTTTAGTTTTTTTCGTCTAAGATTCGAGTTAAGGTTCATGTCACAGGAAAAGGCGGTCCGTTCTCTGGTCGGCTATTTACGAGCAACAAGATTATACTTGATCGTCGTATAGGTGCGTCACTTCTGGCTGCAAACTGTAACGTTGAACTTGGGGCTAAACATACTTTTTTTTACCATATGTACCAATGTTGATCCATCAATTAAGCTCGCAACGTAAGGATGCGCCCTCTCTATGCTTCGCTCTGGCGGCGCGTCACGCGCTCGTACTTAGTGTAAGACCTCCCAAAGTATACTTAATCCAAGGTAAACCAAACTGGTCTTCTATAAGACCCAATAGAAAATTCCCATGGCCGTGCCGTTGCGTAAATGACCTCCTGGATGTAGAATAAATGTCAATGCGGCGGAGAGTCTATTCAACCCCCAAGTGCTCGTCAGCTCGCAATTTACTGTCGCCAGAAGGGCAGTGCCGAACTTCAGGCAGACGGGGCTCAAACTCACATCCTCCTCGCTCTCTGCTACCAAGAGCAGCATGATTACGCCTCTGATTGGTTATATATACCAATGAGACCTTTTGATTGGCTAAAACAACTTTTCCATTCCCTTTAACAATGCGCAAAACCAAAAGTGTAGTCTATTCCACAAGTTGAGCCTCAAGCGTCAAAGCTCGATTTTCGACCATACAAACTTCAAGTAACTTGCTATATATGGAGCCACTCTCGTTTGCCGAAGCTGCAAGACGTGTAGGCGTTAAACGCGACGTCTTCTTCCGCCGTGTACTCGTATCAGATGCTGACGTACAACAGCAGATGCTTGCACGTATCTCAGATGAGCTACAGGACCTACTAGCACGTCAAGACGCGACACTCGTGACTGATTTCTTCCCCACTGCACTGCGTCTCACGCTGGACGCGCCGTTTTCAGCGATTCGAGAAACACTTGGACAGATTGTGGACGTTGTCGAACATAAATTTCCTCAAGTTCAGGAACTTCGTGCTCGTCAGAAGCGTGTCTCTTACTTTTTTGCCAATGGAGACACTCCAGAGGACAATGCACTGGAGAGCGTCCGTCGTGTGGACGATGAAACGTTGCATTCGCTTTTCCAGGACTCGTTTCTACGCACAGGCCGTGTGACGCACTTGATGCAGATCTTGGCATGGCATCGTAGTTATTTGGAGCTTTTTGACCGGAGTTTAGCAGCTACAATGACACGGGATGGTCCGTTACCACTACATTGGAGAAGCTATATTGCTGTCATGGGAGCCAGTGAGTTGAGATGTCATTATCTTGCAGATTTACAGCAATACAACTTTGTGGTAAATGGAGGAGATGGCGAGTGGATTAAAGGACTGGACTATGTACCACCTAAGCTCTTTCGCCTACATGAACTTAGCTCATTGCTGGCTCATAGACCGTGGATGTTGACGGCAGACCATGTCTCGGAGCTACTACGCTCGGATCAGGACGACTCATGGTCGGTTTCGGAACTTGTACATGCCATTATTGTATTGTGTCAAGCCCATTCGATGGCCAGCATTGCATTGGGTGTTGGGTGTGCTGAGGAAGTGGATCTAGCGGTCTTTGGACAGTTTGGATATGCACTGGAAGCCGAGTCGGCTACGTTGGATGGTGTGGATAACCAGGAAGGAATCGATGCCAGCAGCTGCAGTAGCGTGGACCTGTCAACCATTGACCGCGACGACGACATGCTGCTGACACAGCTGAAGAAGAACAGCGGTCTGGACAGCGATACAGCGGATGAAGAGGAAGAGACTGCAGAACAACAGCAAAATAGAGAAGATGATGTGGATTACGAGGAAGAAGATCGAGTTGTTGATGGTTTTGAAGTGGTCGTTGATGAGGCAGATGACGGAGTGAATGCGACAACGCCTAGTAGAAGAATTGACACACTCTGGCGCTTTTGTGGTGGAAGCGTCATCCGCTATGCTGACTTTGATGTACAATCTGAGAAGTACGAGGTGTTACACACGGAGGACTTTAGTTGGGACGAACACTGTTTTTCTCTTGTGAAGCGCTACTTTCCAGGCGAAGCTGGCCAGATCCTCGAGGATCTGTTTAACTTGACAAGCAAGTTGACATACGATTACTTTGGCGTGCAGAAGGAAGAGTTTGTGGACACTAGCCCGTACCGTGATGCTGTGTGGTACTACGTACACCGTATCTTTGGTATTTGCCACGATGACTACGACTACCGCCAGGTGAACACATACTTGAACCGACCGACCAAGATCTTTCTTAAGAAGGTTGCCTGTACGCCCTGGAAAGTACGCGAGGAAGATTTCGCGCACTTCGACCGAACACTCAGTCCTTCGGAGAAATGCCATGTCATCCTACTTGTTGCCGAGGCACGCAAGCAGGCTGGACTCATGTATGGCCTGCGCGCCGTGATGAATCACATGCGTTGATGGGACCTGAAATCCGACTTCGTGTTGCTGTGATTGACTCAGCAGTCCGTTTCAGTCTAGTCATGTGTGGTTCATTAGTGGATGAAGCTTGCAGGTGTTGGCGTCGTGCATGGTGCATGGTGATCTGCGCCCGATGTCTACGTACCGAATTGTGTTGTTTCTCCAATCTGAGCCAGCGCAGTCAGCAAAAAGCTCTTTCTTCGATGCCGCAGATGCGAACGAGCGTCGATCTAGCGTTTGCGACCGTTTTGGTCAGCACGCGCAATGAAATCAGTCTAGCCAGCAAAGTTTCACGTAGCATGGTGATAGAAGCACTAGCTACGATAGTAATCTTAATGAATGTAAGTTATCCCATTTATTCGCCATTTACTATGTGCTTTCTGCAACAGGTCATAATGTAACGTATAGCTGCCAAGTGTGACTACTATTACGTAATACCGGCGTCATCGGAAAGCCTCTCCTGCCATCGACTACTTTGCAGGGACCTTTGACTTATCTTTTCAACTACTGAATCACAATGTGCTTACGTCTGTGAGTTGCTGACACTCTCTTTTTAAGGCGGAACCTCGATTACTGAGACTGAAATATCCAGTGATCTAGCAACGGGAACATTGGACAAGAATAAATTGTATGAGAGGAAAGCAAAAAGCACCATAACGCTCGAAGAGATTATTCTGCCGCTTAAACTGTGACTTAGTACCCTTGTCCAACACTGGGGAATGGGACAGAGCGCAGATACGTAGGTCAGAACAACTATATCGATTAGCTAAGAAAAGGTTGCAATCAGGATGATAATCATTATCCGTTATTGTAAAGAATTTTGCTGCCTACAGACAACATCACGGCGCGTCATGCTCGCTCTCTGGCATCCCCTGAGACTCTGCAACCTCACTGACATTAACCTTTACACTCTGCGTGTCTTCCTCCTCGTGAGTTTCCTCTTGCTCTGCTTCCTCTTCTTCGTGCAATTCCACCTTTTGAGTATCAGACACATCATTCATCTCTTCCAGCAACGCTGCCAGAATCGGAAAATCGGCCACCACTTCGTCCGGCCTCTCACTGATCACGTAATCGTAGACCTTCTCATCCGAGAGAAGACCAATATCGTCGACTGTTGCCTCGGACAGATCGCCACGCTGAAAAAACCGGTTAATAGTATGCAAGTCTCGCCTCAGTAGCTTCTCTGTGCCTGGGTGCGTCCGGTCAACTGCCTGACCAAAATCAATGAGCCAGATACGTTTCTCACGGTGAGAAAAAAGAATGTTGTACTCGCTCAAGTCACCGTGGACCAAGTGGGCGCGCTGGTACAGACCTCGAGTCGCCTGAAGAACGTCAGCATAGGCGCGAGCCTGTTGTTTCGGCGACAAATCCGTCAGTACATCCTTCAGTGTCGGTTCTGGCCACCCGTCGGCCCCAATAAACTGCATCACCAATACGTGCTCCTTGCACACAACTGGAGTCGGTGCACGGATGTTGTGCTTCGCAGCACGGCATAGGTTACGGTACTCCTTATCCGTCCAGGCCTTGATCTGTCGACGTTGGTCCTTTCTTTGAAAATTGAGGTCAAAGCGACGGTCTCCAGTCACGTACTCGTGGCGATTGCCAAATTCATTCAGCGTTGTACGGAAGATCTTGACTGCCAGTTGTACCGGCTGCATCGTCGCTTCGTCCGTACCCATGGCAAAGTATACATGGGCCTCTTTACCACTCTGCACACACCCATGTACCTCGTCCAGCTCGCCTCGATTGATCATCTTTTGCAGGATCAAAGTCGTACGCTCGTCCATAACACCGTCCGTCGTGGCATGAGCTTCCGCTGCCACTCTACCCGTTCCAAAGCCCTTCTTCTCACTCTTTTGCTGACGTCGAATACTCTCCTTAAGTGACGTGAAACCCTTACCCTTTCCAGATCCGTGGCCGGCGTCCTCCATGGACAGAGAGCCCATCACTCTGGCACGAGCCAACGCTGCAGTACCTGTAACAGCCGCAGGCGAGCGTGTCAACACGGTGGGAGCCAATGATCCCTCACCGGAGGCTTCGACCATCATGTCAAAGCTGTCGGCGCTCAGAAGATCCTTGTTACGCTCTTGGTCACGTTTCTCCTTGTTGCGCTGCAAGCTGGTAAAGACGCTGCTCCGATACTCGGGATTCGTCTCACGCTGCATCGCGTGCACCTCTTTCTCGTACAGACTGAGTGCCATTGCTTCATCGATCAAAGCCTGCATACTTGGCTGCGGCTTGACAGGATCAGATGATGATACGCCCCATGGACAGGTACTCGTCATTGTCTTGGGTTTAAACTAAATTATTCACTTGAGCTACACGAAGCAAATTCAAGAATGAGCTCCGAAAGAAATAGAAATGAAACAAGTCTTTATTTTTATTTTTGACCTTCATTCCCAGGTCACACGTCGCAGATTTGTCTCGTCACACGTCACAGATATCTGATCTGTAATGGACGTCAAAATGGACGTTTACTGGTACTGGTATCCGTCCAATTCTACGTGCTAATAAAAGATCCCGTACGGGCAATCAGGAAACGCCACAGTGTCTTTCTTAAATCACAAATGACTAGCAGCCATATTGAACTATGGCTGCAAAGAGACACGCAAAACGTCGGTTGTCTACTACGCTACAAACCCGGCCGTGCAAGCATGTTGTCCTGATCTCTCGCCAATGTCCCAGCACGCGAAAGGGGCTGTTGCAAATGCAACACATGCAGTTGCAGCCTAGATCTTTTCTGAGAGACTACTCTCGGTAACTCATGCGCACATAGGCTTTATGGAATTTGGTGAGCTTGCGACAGTTGCTACCGACAAATTACGTCGGTTTGTCCTATCAGTGTGTATATCATGGATGCTTCTAGCTTCTTTGATGTTATTGTGCGCAAATAAGTACACACACGTCGGGTGGCATCTTGGGCATTGGCTTGTGAAGAGTAGTCCCACGCTACCAAGAATCACGTTGCCGGACGTCTTGTCCTCTCTGTTTTAGCCAACCACTTGATCACGCCTAAGTGTTCGACCGCTACTACCGAGGCTACCATTTGCATCTGGCCTCAGCTTTGACGCGGAATTCACTGATTCATGTACTAGTCTACTCCAAATACTCGGAGCTACATGCCCTTACGCTATTACCATTAATCAGCGTCATAGAAACACTTGCAATCGACAAACTTGCGGCCGTGAGCAGCGAAGCAAAGATTTATGTCTCCATCTGATACTTCAAAGACAAAACCAATGACATGTTATGTCAGACAGGAACAGAATGCACGTACAACGCATGAGCAAAAGCGATTGTGTCTGGAAAAAGACATTGACGTTAAGGTTCACCTTCTACGTTACGGATGGCGTTTCCGACGCATCTAGCTCTGCTTGAATGGTATTGAGTTGCAGAAACAACGAGCGCAGCTCTGCGTGCGATAGTTCAATGTCCAGCTTTTCAATCTGCAAAAGACCAGGTTCTTGTGTTAGTCGTCATCTTCTTCTCTACTCCTTCTTTCACTCATTCGTACCTCTTTCGTAGCCGAGCTCTTGTCCGCCACGTTCAACTGAAAAATGGCAGTCGGCTCCGACTGTCCGCTGCGTTTGCTGCTCCCCATCTGCAGATGTAGACGCCAGTCCGTCTTCTGCAGCACCAACGCGGGCGTCTCGACCGTTTGATACAACTCAATCTGCTTCGCCATAGCGCGACCTTTCTTCCTCCACATCTTCTCGACTGCTTGCACCAACTTGTCGTGCACACCACGCGACCGCAGCAAAGTCCGATCCACTTCTCCAAAGGTGGCGGCGTTTCCGAAGATTTCCTTTGCGATGTCAACTACCTCTTGGATCTGCGCATCTTCGATCCCAAGCATCTTCTTGAGTTGGTCTTTTTCACTACTCGTGAACACTTGAGACTCCTATGCATTGCATTAACAAGATATAATGAATAACCCCATCACGGACTCAGATGTCTCGATACAATTGGTGATCACATTGACTGCCATCTTTTCCAGCACGCGATCCAGGATCTGCCCCAATTTATCGCGCGCTACAACATTGAAAACAGTATACAACTGCGTTCTACAAACAGCAGCAGCATTGGTCTTAGTACCAGTACAATAGACCATCGATGCTGTACAACGTACCTGCTCATTTTGAATCAAAATCGAAACTAGTCGACGATCAAATCTGAGACGGTCACAAATCCCACGACAAGTGTATTACAAGCATTAGTGCTTTGGAAGCTCAACCATTCGAGAAATGAAGAAACATACATAGAGTTGCATTTTTATTAACCTTTGACTTCAATATACTGTAGTATATGACAAACAGCACGAGCTTACTGCTTGAGTGAGGAGCTAGTTTCTAATGACAAAACTTCTGTCCGTGATTGTTGAGAAAGCAGAAACCACGTGGTTGAGGTACCGGTAATCATGACAAACGCGACCATGACCCACAGAGCCGTGATCCACAGCTTTCCACCTCGAACTTGGTCCCATGGGTAAAGTCTCGAGAAAAAGATAACAGGGAAGAAGAAACACATCATGAAGCAGGTAACTGCTCCAGTGAGACCGAAAATGACTTCAATTCCAGGAACAACGATCGCCAGCAGTATCTGCGAGAATAACAGAATCGTCGATACCCCCAGGCGATCCACGAACGGAATGTTGTCGAGGTTGGTGGAGTAAAAGAGTTCTTCCAGCACACTCCGTAGAGGATGGAACAGCAATGGGTAAGACAGCACCACAGTACTGAATACCGCAACTAGCGGCACGTTCATGAGCGGGTCATTCTCAAGATTCAGCAAAACATTGCCGCGGACTGTCACAGAGTACAATTTCTCTGCGAAGAAGCCGAAAATGGAATAGAACACCACGCAAAAAGCGCTGAGTCCAAAGATGCAGCGTGACATTTTCCAGCTTGTCTCTTTCAGAGGGTCAGAGAAGCTGCCGCGGAGCTGGATAAACAGCGGAACCAAGTTCAGGTGCATCATAAATGCGTAATTGTAGATCGAGATCGCATAAGCAAATTTTGACAAGGTCGACCCCGTTATTACCGTCGGTAACTTCGCAGCAGCAGCTAAAGCAGCTGTTTCCTCCGACGCTACAGCTACTATGTTGACGGCTGCAGTAACCGTGCCAGCAACTGACACTGTAGTGTTAACAGGAACATTTCCGCCGTCTCGGTCCCTTGGTTCCAAAGCGTTATAACTTCGGTAGATGATAGCCACAAGCAGATACAGCGAGAAGAAAAATCCGAGGTAGCTCGATATATGCAGCTTGGTCAAGTTCTTCATTAGACATAGTGGAAACACCACGACCACGAACACCATCCACATGACGTAGTCCCCAATCTGCTGTGCCGTTGTCAATAACAAAGGTTGCGTATCCACCACGAATCGATGGAGCATGACAACAAGGAACGGAGCAATGTCACGCACGATGCGCACACATCCCACGCATCCTCCATAGACACCAACGGCCGTGACGATGGAGACCGCGTAGCCAAGTGCGTCTCCTCCTGCTGCTACTGCAATGGCCTGAAAGGAGGCAAAGCTTCTGCCCGAGCCAATAATCCCCTGCTCTTCTTCCTGCTTGGCCAGTTGCACGTGCGATAGCAGTAGTGCGTTGGCTGTGAGTGCCATACCAACGCCTACAATGACGATACCCAGCACTGCAGCCCAAGTCGGCACTAATAGGAACGTGTAGGGCACGGACAGCATACCGGCGCCTACTGTGGACATGGTAAACGTAAGAAACACGTGCAGCTCACGGTGTCTACGTTGCGGCTTGGTAAGCGCCAAACGATGTGGTCGTGGTGTTGGGAGAGGCGACGCAAAAAGCGTGGGGAATCCCGTCTCAAAGGGTGAGCGAGGCGTGGATGTTGAACTGAGCGTATGGCCGCGGTGATCCATGAGTAGCGACGTGTCCTCGCTCATGGCGATGGTCGACATGGTCGTAAATGTTCACTTGTGCTTGGGAGAGTTGATATCTGACTGTGACCATGGGATGGGACCATATCTGAGACCAATGGTCAGGGCGTTGAAGTGAAATGAATCCATAATCAGTTAAATCATGTGGATTTTAAGTAAACACATCATTGAGTATCGATACCAATACCGGTATTTGTGAAGTGTAGACTGAGCGCTACTGAAGTAGTAATTTATTGATGTCGCAATCACGAAAACGACTAAAGTCGCTGAATAAATTACGGATAATTTACCCTAACATTCTGGAAATACTGTATGATCTAAATGCAGTATAACTTCTAGTCGTAAATGAAACCTCCAAAACCATTAACGAATTCTAATTTTGCGTCAGATGAAAAATGATGGTTTTTGCGCCGAGGGTTGTCAAGATTCGACTGTTTTTTTTTAGAATTTCGTCGTGGTAGCACGTCCAACGCAGCGAGGACCCACGTTGTATCTGTAACTGCACACAACTCGTACGCTAGAATACTGTAATTTGAGTGCTGGTCCAGTCAACAGTAGGCCCCCCGGCCCCCATGTCTATCGGAAAGTAAAGTCGAGTCCAACCAAAGTCAGTGGCCGAGTGCTCACTGGATTTGCACCACAAGTTTTCAACATGATGAGCTGACCTTGAAAGCCAAGAAAACGCCACTCGCTCTCTGTCCAATTGTCTTCACTACGTTGCGATCTCCATGCAAAATGCCACCGTTTATGACCATATACGACTGGCGCAGCAACGGCTTTAATATATACGTAGCAAGTCCTCAGTGGCTGCTGTGCCCAATTTGGCAATCATTGCGCATGAAACGTTTAGCCGAATGACTATCGAATCATGACGTTTCGCTAGCAGTTAATTCTATTTAATAACCTTCTATATAGACGTATAGAGCCAGTCTGACGTTTATTCGACATGCCAATATAAAAAATGCATCCTCAGTCACGCTAGTTGCGGCAGCGCCAGCGTAAATGCTTACTAGCTCTTCGCTTTAGTCAACAATTGCACAAAGGTCGGCAAAATCGCCGTGTCTCTGTCCTTCCGCAACCTTACCACTTGCTATTGTTGACTGTCACTTCAGGTTTTTGCTTTGTCTGTGGACCACCGTTTGTCTCTTGACGGGCGGTATCTCTCTCTCTTCCAGTCTCACTTGTCATTCTTAAATTCGTCTCGTCTTGTCCAAGTCAATTTTGACTTCGACATGGCGGACTACCACGTTCTCAAGACACCACAAGTCAATGCAGGCAGCCCGGGGAACCAGCCGCTGGCTCAGAAAACCACCTCGTCCACCGCCGTCCATGTTGTCCGCTTGTCAATTGTGCTGGGCATTGCTGTGTTTATTTTCGGTAACATTGCGACTTGGGCGCCATTGTACGAGCTTAACCTCCAAAAAACCATGATGAAGTGGTGGAACGGGTATCCGAACCAACCAGCTATGCCAGCCATGAAGAATCATGGCCACATGAGCAACATTGTCGACACGGGTATCGGTCGCAACATCACCGAGACCGGGCACACCGAGATGATTCGTCCCACCTTTCTCTTTATCTTTTGCATCTTCCCCTTCATTGTCAGTGTCCTGCTCATTGAATACTTGCGCCACATCAACACGGCCCGACGTTTGACATCGACGCTCATTTGGCGTTTCGCAATGCTTATGCGCCGTAAACCTAAGTTTCTAGTGCTCGGTGTCTCTCGGTTCTCAGTGGGCGAGTGGATCTTCGGTGTCGTCTACGTTCTCGGTGGCAACGGTCTCTGCTGGTATTTTCAGTGGGATCGTCGTGTTAGCTTTGCTTCCGGAGCTGGTCTACTCAACACCTCCAAGTACTGGAATATCGTGGGCATCAGTGCGGCGTACCTGTGTATTTACAATATGGCATTCCTGTTGCTGCCCGTGACGAGAAACTCGGGCTGGATGGAGTTTTTTAACATCTCGTACGCCAACGGTGTCAAATTTCACCGCTGGATCGGTTTCATGACGGTCATCACCGCCGTCGTGCACATGGTCGGTTACTGGGGCTATTGGGTCCGACTAGGCACGTGGCAAGTCAACCAGTTCCCGTGCACTCATTGCGACTTTGAGTTAGACAACTCGGGAGGCGGCTACTACGCGTGGTTCAACTTTTTTGGCTTCATTTCCACACTCGCGCTCGTGCTCATAATCCCGACCTCGTTCCCCATTGTCCGTCGCAAGGCCTACGAGTGGTTCTACATTTCTCACTGGGTGTTGCTCATCATTTCTGTGCTCTTTGCAATCTTGCACTGGACGCAGATTATCTGGTGGATTCTGCCTTCAGGATGCGTGTGGTTCGTTAGCCGGGCAGCTTCCCGTTGGAATGCCATGACCCCCGTCTCGGTTAAGGAGCTTTCGGTCATCGGTGATGGTGATGACGAGTTGGTTAAGATTGTCGTAAAACGTGCCGCCCCGGGAACGTCCCCATCTTCATCGTCCTACGACTACAAGGTCGGCAACTTCCTCTACTTGAACGTGCCTCGTATCTCAAAGCTGCAGTGGCATGCACTCACTATCGCGTCGTCCCCGAAGACGAGCCCCACTGACGTCACTCTGCTGGTCAAGTCTCTCGGAGACTGGTCAAAAAGCTTGGTGCAGTATGCTAAGGACTGTCACCGTGACAACATTACCCCGCTGATATACATGGATGGTTTCTATGGTGCTTCCCTTGAACAGTACGAAGATTACTCCACCGTGTGCTTGGTTGGTGGCGGAATTGGTGTGACTCCTGTGCTGGCCATTTTAGATGACCTTGCCGCCAAACTGTCCAGCAATGGTGTCTCATGGACCCAACGTTTCACTTTCATCTTCACGTTCCGTGAGCTCAGTATTTTTCAGGCTGTTGCACCCGTGCTTGCCCAACTTCGTCAGCTAGACCCACACGCGCAGTTCTTCAGGGTCCACCTATTTGCGACTGGCGTCTACTCGGATATTGACCTTTCTCATAAGTTAGAATCCTCGCTCATTAAGGAAATGCCTGACGCGGCAACGACCAAGTCCACGAGTCGTGCTGCACGCCCATTCTACGAGCCTCTGCGTTCAAGCAACATGATCCGCTTTGTTATGTACTTGGTGCTCTACATCGTAGCAATTGCGGTTGTTTTCGTCGTGAAATGGGGGAATGGTGTCATCCAGGGAACCAATCACTTTGAGCTCTGGCCGCTTCAGCGCTCATTCGAGCTTGCAGTTTTCTGCTTGACGATCGTAGTAGTTTACGGCTTCGTGTATTATGAACACGCGATGTTTCGTCGCAGCCACGCAGCCACCGAGTCGACCCCGATTGTGACAGGAACCCCAGTATCAAAGCTCACTGCTTTTGGAGGCGATGTCCACTCTGTGGGAGACCTTCTCGGTCACTTCAGCGTCATGATAGGTAAGCGACCCGACATGCAGTCTCTCCTGCAGCAAACGCTGGAGGCTCACAAGCTGGATGATAGCTCTGCGAGTTTGCTGTCTGTAGTCGGTGTCATCTTGTCTGGACCAGAAGCATTAAAGATGGCAACAAACGAGGCCATTTATGCTCTGGGTGGTGGCAACTTTGACGTCCACGAAGAGGAGTTCGAGTTGTAGTAGTAAGCTAGTAACAACAATGGAAGCTAATGTCACTCATTTACGTCAAGCTCAAGTCAGTCCAAGCCTCATCTCCTCATCACGGGCACCCATCTTCTGCGGCAATCCTCCCTTGCGGGAGCCGAAGTGGGTGAAGTCATGTCTCGGGCTTGCATCTCGCATGGCCACCGATCGTGCGGATAGCAGACCAGGGAAAGGTATGGCGATCCCGCGCAACGCGTCATCGAGTCGGCGATCGCGCACTCCACGTCCGACGGTCCGTGTAAGCGAACTTTAAGAACATAAACAACGGTACACGTCTGCTACTATGCTGCATCAGCATAGCCGGACAATCTCGGGAGCTCTCTGTTGTGTACATGTAGCCATTTCGATGCGCGAACAGAGTCTCCTCTTAAAATTGCTTTGATACACTTATCACTTTTGACATCACCACTTTCACCACTTCAAGATCAGATCAGATCTTAATTCCATGGCGACTGTTTTCAGCTCGCGCTTTGGCGCTGCCGCAAAGCGCAAAAACAAAAAGCCTGTCGATAGTATGCTGAATGACAGTTCGGATGACGGTTCTCCTCTAGGTGGCGACGTGCGTCGAAATTCGTTGAAAAGACCGACGTCAGGACATGTAAGCACCAATTCCTCGGATTTCTTGCAACGTGTGACTCGTCATACTACAACAGCAAATAGAGCCGAGAATAGGACGCCAATGATGCAAGAAACACCAATGAAGAAGAAGTTTGGATCGTTGTTCGGTAGTCGAAGCAGTTGGACAAGTAAGAGAAGCACGGGGAAAAAGTGGTACAGTGATTCGGATGATGAGGAAGAGGAGGAACTGGTTGTGAAGAAGACGTCGGGAAAGAGTAAAGTGAAAAGCGACCAAGACGAGGAAATGGGCTCCGAGATGGACGTGTATATTTTAAGTGCAATGGTTGAGTCACACAAGAAGAAAAATGACGAGCCTGCATCAATAGCTGCACAACAAATGCGGCCTGAATTCAATCGACTAATGACAGACCGAAAAGAAAGAGTGAGCACAGAGGGAAGTGTATCCGATGAGAGTGGAAGAGAAGCAGCGTCTTTGAAGCCTCGAGCTGCATATGCTACAGAAATGAAGATAAATGTGCCCAGGCTGCAGACGAAGACACGAACGATGTCGTCTTTTTGTGGAAATGGGAAAGGAAAACCGGGATCACCTGCCATCATTAATTCAGCTGCTTGTAATTCGAAACGAGGCACACCGTCAGCCTTGTTGGAGCATTTGATGTTGGAGACTCCACCTACTTGTAATACAAGCACAAAACGACCGGCAAAGGTGGAGACAGGAGGCAATAGAATTGCCCCCACCATCCTTATAAACCGTCGTACTGACCAACTGAAACACTCTGCCAGCGGATCCGAGTACAGTGGATCGCCGAGGTTGGCAATTTGCAGCAACGACGAGGTCTTCAGTCCTGGTCTGCGAAAGGTACCGGGGGCGTTTCCCGGAAGACCTGGTAGTGGCGTATTGCTAGAGGGTTGGCTATCTCAGAAACAGCGCCGCACAACCAAGGGATTAAAGAAGTGGAATTCACGCTACTTTGTTCTCTATGCGCGATCCAACGAGATTCGCTATTATGCAGACGTCGTCCAGTCTGCTTGGGGGCCAATTCCGCTTGGTGAGATTGGATCAATTTCGTTGCGACTTATTCAGCGTATCGGCAAGCTTAGCCACCCTAAATGCAAAGGCTGCCGCTTTGACATTACCTGCCGCAATGGCTGGGGTACACCCTATGCTGATGACTACGTTTCGTCTGATGAAGAGAATGCAAGCGGTAACAACATTGCCAGCACGAACTCGAACAACGAGAAAACAGGGGCAACAGCTTCAAAATCGGAAAAGGGTGGCACTCCGCGATCCTTTCGGGTATACAGCTTCGTTGCTGACTCGCCACAGGTCACAGTGGCATGGGTGAACACGTTAGACTCACTGCTAACGCGCAGTGCCAACAGCCCACGACCTGACGTGAGCTCGTCAGCCATTGCCACCAGTGGAACATCAACCGCGAATGCCAGCGGCAGACCCAAAGAGCTTCGAGCTGAAGTACGGCAACGACCGAGTGCTTTGGATATGGAGTCGATAGTGATGTTGGGTCCTGGAGAGTGTGTACCGAAGGCTACCATCTACGCCATAAACTTCATCTTCGACTCGACGCCAGGCATTGAGACGGAAAAGTTCTACGAAGTCGAGCCTGACGCTACGAAGCTGAAGGTGAGTTCATGGATGTTTTGTCTTGTAGCTTTCGTCACTCAAACTAACAACTTTTGTGCTCGTATCTTTCCAGGCTGCCCTGAAATTTCTGAATGCGTTTGCTGGTGAGGCGGTGTCTCACAAACCGACTAAAGAGGAATTGGAGGAACTGCTGGACGCCATTACCGCCAGTGCCGTCGTACGCTTGTGGCTGAAGCAACTCGAGCAACCTTTGATCCCGTTCTCACTGTACGAAGACTTTGAAGCACTTGCGCGTGAGGCACAAACTGCGCCGTTCGATCTCCGTCGAAATCTCCGTGCACTGCTGCAAGCTCTGCCCAAGAAAAATCTGTACGTTCTCCTCATCCGATACATCCTGCTGCCTAGATGACTAAACATCGAGCCATGTTTCGTTCACGTGCATCACAGTACCATGTTGGCCTGTCTGCTCTTCCACTTGAATGACGTCAACGTATACTCATCCAAGAACGGGATGAACGCAGCTTGCCTAGCGCATCACTTTGCCAAATTCATCCTGCGCCCACAGAAAAAGTCATTTCAAGGTGACAACTCGAAAGAGAAAGACGATGTCGATTATGCTGTAAGTGACCTCGTAAAAGAGATGATCACTAACGTCGATACGTTCATTGACGAAAAAGAAGCTCAACTTCTCGAGGACAATCGACTATAACAAGCTAAAAAAAAGGGGACAGCAATATCAAGTCTTCATCTCAGCTGATCTAGCACTGTACCTTCATGTACACAATGTGCTTGCCCGGTACAAGTGTCATTCCAAGTGAACGACTTCCTGGAGGCAGCAACAGACCAGCAAAACGCGTCTCTTCCTCCTGATCTCGAGCGTCCAATTGAACAGCCATGGCTCTTTTATCCTTGTTGTTTTTACTCAGACCAGTGCGTGTGGGTGCGAACTCTCGTCCGTCCTTCAGGATCACGTTCTGGTGCTTATCAAAGCAGTGAAAACGACCGACAATTACGCGGCCATCCGAGATACGCAGTCGCACTAAAGACCCCAAGAGTTTCATGAGCTCCAGTGTCGATTCACCCACAGACGTCAAGGTCTCCCCATGTTGTATCTGTTCAATGTCATTGTCTTTGTTTACGTGCAAAGTCACTTGCGGTTGACCATTAAGTGACAGGACTGCAGGTGTCTTGGCCAATAGCCCCATCATTTTTTTTGGAGTTGGGTATGACAAAAGACAGGTTTGTGGCAAACAAAAACTAAAGTAGTTTTCAATAAGAATTAGTATTAGTGATGAAAGATGCAGAAAATCCTCTGTGTAGTAATAAAGATTTTTTTTTGGTCCAAAATGAGCAAAATTGTGTATGTGCACGAAAGTCGCTCGATTCTTTTGTTTGCACCTTTTCTTTCCCCTAACCCCCAAATCGCTCATGTATAGCAGCAACTTGAACCTTAAGTTGTGTTTGTCGCAGCATTTACTAAAAAGGTCTTTTTTTCCTGATTAAATATACATTCTTTAGTGCACGGAGCTCGTATTTATTTATCAGTGAGCTCCGTGCATTTTATTTCAAAGGTCGTGAGAAATGGCCCATATTAAAACAAAGGACCCATTTGGCTTTGTGGGTTCCCATATCGTACGTCGACAGCCACGAACGGGCGTGGAAGAGCATGGATGGCTTACACGTTATGATGAATCTCTTGACTGTTATACATTGTTTGTACCTGGTACAAAAGAAGAACCTCGTTTACTTGCTCGAGGAGAAGTATTGAAATACCTTTCAGCCCCTAATATTGAATTTCATGATGACGATGAGAAGGATTTTCCACCACCGGTTCAAGATACGACGACAAGTCGCTATGTTGGTGTAAAAGTATGTCGAGAATATTTACAAGACAAATACGCACGGGATAATAAAAGTACGATACAGGAAAAGGTCCAGGGGCAAGTAAAATGTTTCTTACCATTTGCTGATCGATACATTGTCGAGTATGAAGATGGAACAATGGAAGAAGTGTCGGAATCGACTGTTATTAATGGTATGATTGCATTGATCAAGTCATTCTTTAGGTTGTCACTGGATCGGACACAGAAACAAAAAAGAAAAATTAATGATGACGATGATGAGCTTGAATTTGTTCGGCGGAAACGACAACGGAGTACGATTATTACTGGTGACTCACGTGTCGAGGAGATTTCGTCTGGGTCTATCATAGTGATTGAGGATGTGGCTGACGAGCAACAAGATGATGAGGTTGTTTTCGTTGATCAAATGAAGATGAAAGCTGATGTAGATAAGGAGACGGAGCTCACGCCGAAGAGTTTGGAAACGAGGAGTAGCACATTGGACAGTACTGTACGAGAAAACTCGCTAGAGATGGCGAGTCATCCAGCAGAAGAACTCATGCTGATTGGTAAAGATCATGTGGCTGGTCAGGATGATAGTGTGAAGATCGAGGAGCGCCATGATGAACCAGATTGTAAGAAGCCCGCAATTGATACAACACTGGCAGATACAGCACAGCCTGAGACACCAAAAAAAGTGCCGTTCTATATTGTTAATACGAAGCCACATGTAGCCACAAAACCATTCCCGAAACGCGCCATGGCATTTGAGCTCCTACGGGCTTCGCTGATAAATCTACTGGATCGTCGTGAAGCTAGTGTCGTGAAGATCGCTCGGCAGTACGACTTGCTACGCAACCCTGATATGCGAGACCGCGATGCCGTGATCCGATTCATGGACGCTGACGGATTGTTTGTGCTGAATCATTTGCTGAGCTCGTTTGCGACTGGAGTTCTTGACGATAGTGAAAGCAAAGAGGACGGTGTTGATAACTCGCCAGAAAAGATTCGAGAGCGGATGGAGCGTGACGATGAATTGCTTCACGTGTTAAAACTTGTGGCTATGCTTCCAACACCTTCGCGAAACCAAGTCGTTGCGTCAAAAATTGGTAAGACTATCAATTATTTGAGCAAACCGCAGGGACCCCCAGGGCGCCAAAATGCTCTGCCAAAATGCATCACAGCGCTGGCGAAATGGATCAAGACTTCATGGATCAAGAATATATCTCCAGCTTCAAAGTCTGCACCTAAGGCATCTGCCTGCACCCAAGGCATCACCCGACAGCTACTTAATCGGCCTCAGCAACAAGCTAGGCGAGGTGGGCACGGTGGGTCTTCTGGGCATCGAAGTCTCCAGTTGAACCGACGGCAGCCGCCGCCATCACAGCGACTGCAACGTCAGGTCTCATCAGCTCCTGCGTTGCCGAACGAGGACCACGCATCGCAAGACAACATACCGATCCCTAGGCGGTCATGTCCAAGGCAGGTCGCACAACCACAGCAACCTGTAGCTGCATCTGCTCTATCCCATTTACCAGTTTCACGTCGTGTCCGAGGTAGTTTGAAACCGGACTGGATCAGAAAGAAGGAGAATCTTTCTCGTTCTCGCTTTTGCATCGTTGACAACGCAAACGTCGATACAAGGCTCTATAGAAGCAGCCAAGCCCATCCTATCACCAACGCGATGACCCCATCGTCTCAAGCGCCTACACAACAGCATAAACATCCGGACCAGCACGAAGACGCCGGTGGTCCAGATGGAGTATTCGGAAGAGCTCAAAGGCTTCGCTTTGGCAAACGGTGGAGCATTCAAGAATTCGGGAGTAGGGATCCCCCTGGCACGCTGAAGCAACGCCCGGGATCTTTGTACTCGGCGCCTCCTTACGGTCGTTCGCAAGATTCAGACCAGCAGTTAGTGCATGTGCCTCCTGTGCCGCATTCGTCTCGTCAGCCACGACCTATCCTGCAGCGTGTCAGTCGATACAATGATGAGCCTGCCATTGATGGTTTAGGCAGGTGATTGTTGTTGCTGTGAATGCCCAGCTCGTGACTCTGAGGGCAAACGCAACCTCGTGATACTCGGAGTTGCATTCGCCGTCATTGAGTAGGTTGTACCTGAAAAAAATAGGATAGAGGAGGATGGCAGAATAGCAAAACGATTGTAAGCACATTCACACCTTGCGGGTATTTTCAGAGACAACAACATATTCCTTCTTTAGTACACGTCGCACAAACAAATCACGACTTTACAACCAGTTGTCATCTTCGCCGGTCTTTTGTCGCCCACGACTTGCGTAAATATAAAATGAGGTCCTACAGCACGCATACAGCTAGTTAGTGCAGGGTACAAATCATCAGTTGTACCTAAGTGCGCGCCACCTTAATAAAGTCGCGTCGAAGAGCCACAGGAATGTTCAGGTACTGAACGTGTTCAGACAGCGATCTCTCGATTTTCTCCAACTTGGTTGTCCGTGCTTTCCAAATCTCGTTGAGGTCGGTGCGTCGCTCGAAGTTGCGATAGTAATCCACTAAAGTGATCACTTGTTCAGCGCATCCGCTTACGCCTGCACCATACTTAGTACGCAACGCATTAAGATGATCTTGCTCAAATTTGGAATCGTTTCGCTTGGGCTTAGCCCTCACCACCACAAGTTCAGGCTCTGGTTCATGTGTTGAGTCTTTCTGAAGTTTGGTCTTTGCTACACTTGGCATGGTAGTCTGGGAAAACTGCAATTTGTCCAAATGACCTGCCATTTTCTGCAAAGATGTCTGGATGTCTTCGCACTCGCCATTGCTTCCAAAAAGCTGTAGGTCACCATGAATAGTTGTGTTTTTCACATCGGCATTCACAATCAACTCGGGCTTCATACTTGTACATTCCATTTTCACATCATTTACAGACGCCTTGACTGTGGAACTACCAATAGACCCACTCGCCACATCGGAAACTGAAATCAACGCTTTATCAGTCGTACCCTGCGCGCTTAGTTTGGTACCAGTACGGATCTCGGCAACCACTCGCTCTGCTACCTTTTCCACCAAAGAGGTCACGAAACATCGAATTTCCTGCTTAATGCGGTCATCATCTGGAGTTTTCGCGACTTGAAAAGACTTCTCATCCGTCTCTTTAGCCGAGGGACGGCCGCAATGGCTAGGAAAAGTCATGCCTATGGTTTCATCGACAACTATATACTGCACATCTTCTACCAATAGATTATTGCCTTTTGGTTCATCAGGACGGCTGAACAGTGGTGTGACTTCCTCATGTACACCTCCATTTGCAAAACGAGGCCCTGACGGTCGAAACGCATCGTAAAATGCTTGTCCTGATGAATTGGTGTGACAAGGAGCCATACCTAGCGATAATCGGTCGCTGCTGGGGGAAGTCGAACGGTTATGTTTTTTCGTCGTTTTGTTGGGTTTGCGGGTCCTTTTACGACTGGAAACACTGATACTTGCTGATGGCAACACATCAGATGTTACTGCAGATGAGAAAGAGGCTGACAACGGTAGAGGGATGCGCACGTCAGTTGATTCAGCAATTGCGTCTGTGTCAAGCTGAGTTGGCAGTCCCTTTACCGCTTCATTCGAATGGCTAAGGGTGTGCTGCATCACGTTCTGGAAAACTGTTGAGGCATAAGGCGACGAAGCTACGCCATTCTCAGCTGGCAATCGGTTGTACTCAGCCCCACTGGCCAAGGTCTCATTGATTCGCTTGACGGCTTGGGGTTTCCCTACCAAATCGCGCTCATTTTTTTCACTGCTGTTGGCAGCTTCAGTAGTCCTTACGACGTCCGCGAGGACCTCTGCGACTTGTAAGTCAATGCTACGAGCCTCCAACTTCGGTTCCTCTACGGGCGTTGTGCTGCTCCCTGCGTGTTTTACTTCAACTCCACCTGAGGATACTGTAATCGCTACCATTCTTTTTTCTTCGCATACACCATCTGGGGTGATTGTTTCTTCCTTAATGACCACATCTGTGCTCCCATTATGACCACTTTCGAGCGTATCTTTTGGTGTCAACGTTCCGCTCTGTATAGCTTGATAATTTTGGCTGCCACTAGCACCGGTTAGGCCAATTTGACTCTCTGCAGCAGAAGAAGAGCGCACAAAGCGCCTACGTCTTGCCCTTGCCCTTTTCATTGGCTTTCCTCTAGTGCCATTTGAGCTCAGTTTGCGCTTCCTAGTAGAACCACCACCTTTCAATTTTGTTGGCAAAACTCTCGAAATCGCTCTCCGCGATGGCATGGCCTTAATGTCCACTGGTAGTTGGTAACGGATAGCTGCCAGCTTAAAGTTGAAGTGCTGCAAAATTGATTGATACATAGGGAACAATCGGTTCTTTTCACGTTCCTCATCCTGTAATACGTTTCGAAAATGGTGTCGCTCTGGAATAAGTTCGTATGGCATATAGATTTCGCGGCATGCACCGCCACTCACTTTCTCCCCACGTGTGTGAAAGTATCGCAAGAGACTCACTGGCGTATTTCGTCGAGTATCGTACGTACCAACAATTAAACCTACAAATGGTTCCGACGGCTTGTTGTCAGCGGTGGTGGGGCGCTGAAACAGCTGTTGGTAGCTAGTTTGATTCTCAATGTCTCGAATCGACGGATCAGGCGCAAACGCAGGATGTGAGTGATACCAGCCTACAACCTCTAGTTGTGCATTTTCAATGATGCCACGAAGTTCAATCTCACTACCCGGATCCATCTCCACGTCAGTAGAGCCATCGTCGCCATCAATGACAAGCGAGCGACAAGGAAACGCAGCCTGAATGTACAGCGTCTTGGATGCTTCATCCCATTTGCCGCCTAAGAAGCCAATGATTTCGCAAGTGGCAAGGTGTGCATGGAGATCTGCCACAAACACTGCGTCCGGGTGTACTACAATATGGAATGGGGGGTCAAGCATAGGCCCACCACGGCTGCGACTATTAGGGTCATCCACGTAATCTTTCGGGCGATAGACAGCACATTGCACCATTGTGTGTGGATCCAAATTTCCTGTCATCATGTTTTGACGAATTTGCGACTGCTGAAAGGACCGCATCTGGCGCTTACCCGACAAGCGTTCACGTCCAGTCATAGTATCTTCAGCCTGCTTTCGCTCAATCGCAGCCTTCTTCTTCTCAGCAATACTGAGTTCGTTGGTGAATACAGCGTCATCCCACACAAAATCTTGTTTGTGTGCTAGCTGCATGTGTTCTCCACTTAAAGCACTTGAATCACCCGACACCCCTGTCGTCCAAATGCTAGATAATGGTGTCAGTATCAGCTTATTTGGCTCCTTCTCCTCTGTATTGCCTGCAACTACATCAAGAACCTGTTCACCATTTTTCCATTTAGTCAGCTGTTTCGAGACACCATCGCCGTTCTTCGCGATTGCATCAAAAACCTGTATATCACTTTGCTCAGCCAGCTGTTTCGATACGCTGTCGCCGTCCTCCATCACCATAACCCTAGCACTGCCCTTCCTTAAGCTCTTTAACTCCGTCTCATTAGCCTCAGTACTTGCCACTTTATTCCTAAACTCCAGTGCTTTTTTTTCAGCTTCGTTGCCAGTCACTTTATCATTGTAAGCCAGATACGGCATCTTCTCTGGAGTCTCTGTCAAATCAATTGGAGCCAGTGATTGCGACACAATAGCAACATGTGGCACGTCGTAAACTCCCTTTCGTGACCGCTTCCGTGGCCTCGACTCGAAATCCATTGAGTTTTCTTGTCGTCGTGGTTTCGCCGGTGTCAACATCACTACCTCGTTGATGTCCTTGTTTTCCGTCCCTTTTTCTTTCTTGACCATTAACTTTCTTGCCGGTTTCTTCTCTACTGCTACTTCTTCCTCCTTCCCAACACTAAAAGCTGCATTATCTTCATTTTCCACGTCGTCCCACGCATTCTCCAGTACTCCTTCCTCGTGCCTATCAAACTGCATAACATCCCACACACGTTGTTTCTTCTCTTTTACACTTGGTTCTTCCAATAACACAAGTTCCTCCTCTTTATACTCTTTTCCCTATCCCAAAAAAACACCAAAACAAAAACAATAGCACCATACAACAAGTCACCCTCATGAGATCATCAAGAAAAAACAGTCACTCCTAGAACCTTTTTCCCCCCAACTATTTTCTCTCTCTCTCTCTCTCTCTCTCTCTCTCTCTCTCTCCTTACCATATGTAACAACTCTGTCGCCTTAACAAGTGCTCGTTTAAATTCTGCCTTCATTTTCCTCCATTTACTGTTTTTACTGGTCATTAACGCACGTTCATATAAATGATAATGAGTCGTAAATCCTGCCACATTGCTTGCATTTATCTCTAAAACGGAGAAATTAAATTTGTCGAGAAACATAATCAAACAATGTCGTTTCAGGTAACAAGTGCTCGATTCTTCTTCCCCCGTTAGTGTATCACCTCTTGTCACTTTTTCCGGTCGTGGAACCACTAATTCCGCTACAATTTTAGGGTCAGTATGGATTCCAGCATGAAAAACATCGTCCCAGGAGTGAAATAAAACGCCCGGCCACCATGGAAAACCACGGACTTTCGCCCACACGATATCAAAGTTACAAAAACGTTCTTCCACAAGCGCAAGTGCTTCATAACGTGCTTGTAAGGACTCGTTATTTGTGCCATCGGTCCGAGAACTTGACGACGTTTTTGCGCCCGGAGCCACCATTTGCACGATTAAAACGAGATGCGGGGCTTAAGTTGCGCAACGGAAGGTGGCGTTTTTTTCTTTGAGTTGTTGCTAAAAAAATAAAGTTTCTCAAATTGCAACGTAGACAATTTTGATTATAGTTTACGTGCTATTTGAATGCAAAAGTTTATGCCATAGAGGGATGCTTTCTAAAAATGCCAAATAAAGACTTTTATGCGGTTCAGATTCTTAATTTATTGCTAGGTTGGTATCATGATGTAATATTTACATGGGCAGTGAGTAAGCAACTGAATTTACATTTTTATAAACAAGCTGGTCTTAAATATTGCCGCTTCGAAAATTCTGTGGGTGTTACAAGCGCTAAAATGTCGCCGCGAGTGACACCGTGGCTTTCAAGTAGTATAGAAAAAGCTACATAGATTGCATCCGTACTGCTGCACTTCTTACAGCGATGGTCACAACATTCATGAATTTACAGACTTTGACGCTACTCAAAGTTTGATAGGGAAGCCTGCATCTAAAATCATACACGCTCTCTAAAGTCTTTCACTGCAACAGTACTACTACTCAAAAAATAAACTGCCTGCAAGACAGCGCACTTGTCGCAAGCTGCTCCCGTGAATGGAGCGAGATATACCCATATCCTTGACGAGGTGCGGCACGACGTCCCTAAAGCACTAGATTAAAGCGTTTGCTGTATGTGAAATGGTGTTACATTGGACTAGGCAGCACCGTTAAGACACGCATCGATTAAGCAACCTTGTAAAGCCCAGGTTGCAATTGCATAACGAATACGATGTTGCAGCAAAGCAAGTGTCTTTGTGCTATGCTGGTGGACCGGCACGCTGGCGTGCATGTTGATCAATTACAGTCTCCTCGCCTGCTTACACCCGGTAGCATCGCACTGTCGCCACTAACAAACCTTGTATAACCCATAAAGCGTGGTTGAACAGTACACGTTTCCACACGTTCCTGTCGTCTGATTTGCCACCGAGACTGCGACGCCAGTGGAGGAGTCGAAGGGCAGAGTGTTGTGTGCTTCGAACCGACGTAGCGCTTTGACCGGGTGACATGTTCTTGCGAATGACTGCATGGACAACGGCGCCACTTGAGCATGCACGATTCTGCAGCTTTGCAAGATAGTTGCAACTTTTTCGTAAGCACAACTTTACACTCTGCGACGCTGACAAGAAAATAGAGCGCCAGGAAACATCGGCATTATTTAAATTCCCCAAGGCCAACGACCACGTTCATTACCTCGATTGTCAATGCATTATCTGTACCGGTACTTTAATAGACCTCGTTAAGGAAGTGCCTGCAAACTTGGCATACTATCGCTGTCTAAAGCTTGAAATACACTTTGAATAAATCGGCATAGACTGAAATCCGCTGTTCAAGTTAGTATACAGCCGTGGTAGTGGCAGTGATCGCAAATCTTTCATAGCACTTTAACAGGTCTAGCAGATGCTCGGCGATAAAAGGAAGTTTGACTTCTTGAATTTGTGGCGCAAAAGTAGACGGGCTTGTGTCTGTCCGTCTGCTAGTAGTTACATCGAGTTGATTTGACAAGGAGCAAGGCTTATTGCCCTCACCACAGCACGACTTTCGTCTACAAATAGCAAGAACAAAAGCAACTACACAGATGAACACAAGCGGATACGGATACACTAAACACGATGTACAATAAACGTCTTCGTATAATGATTCTGGCCAGCATCGAGGCTGTCCACTCTACAGGTCAGCAAAAAAATCCGTCCTCCTGGTCGTCATCCAGCCCCAATTCCGGTTCAGACTCTGCTCTTGTCATGGCTCGAGCAATGCGAGTATCACATTCTTCCAAGTCGCGCAACGACGGCTCAATCATAGGACTCAGGACATCCATTGCATCGGCATCAATTATCTCAAAACTAGCACCCTTCTCTCGCGAAATGAATGGACGAAGCAATCCGTCGCGAGTCTGCGCTCCAACAAACCAGCGACGATGACGCAGGCTCTGCAGCTCTCCCTCCCATCCAAAATCGAATTGGAACCACCTCTTGAGCTGCATTGTCCTGCGTCGCGTAAGTTTCAATCCACTCGAACTCGCATACAGCACATCTCCAGATTTCTCGTAATCTTCAAACTCCACACGCACGCTGTTGTACGCCGAGACGTGGACTGCTAATCTCAGCGACGTGGGTCTCTGACGAAAAGCCCAGTCCTTTTCACTCGGGTCATCCTGCACAAGGAACAGTTCGTCTCCAAGCCTTTTTGCAAACTTGCCAGTACCTTTCAGTCGCAAGTAGACTCGTTTCCCTCCAAGTGCTTCCAACTTTCTGTTCTTCTCCTTCACAACTTCTCGAATGTTTCGCAACTGCAGCTCTAGCCGCTCCAGTGCTTGTGTCGACTTCGTAGACGACGTCAAAAATGGCACCTTTGTCTCTGCCCTGGACAGCACTTGTTTGGACCAGCCCACACCCGTCGTACACCACAGCGTCACGTGCTCGCAGTTCAACGATAAAATACTAAAATGTCCCTGGCCGAGCCCTAAAAGAAACTCACAGCGTGCCAATACCACAGGGGGCGCATCAGCGTGTGTCCGATGCACTTCGCCCAGTCGGGAGCTGGCTTCTGCCACCAGCGACGAGTTGTATTGTACACGACGCATGTCTCGTAGCGGCCTCCCATTCAAAAATTCCGTAAGACTTGTGATCTGAAAATTTGAATCTGCTTGCGACTCACGTAGCCCCGTCTTACGAGACCAGACATGAGCAACGGAGATGACATCGGCGCTCTCTCCCGCCATGTAGACAATACCATGATGTGTGTATCGAAATGGCCAGCGACTAGTGTCCCAGATACAAATGTGGTCAGCTGGCCGTAACCTCTGTACGTCCTTCACTTCGCACGTGTTCATCTTTGATCGAGAAGAGAAAGAAGAGGAAAGAGGAAGAGAAAAACGTTATGAAGAATGAAAATGGTATTGTGGCCATTTCTATTGCGTTTGGTTGTAATGTTGTTGAGTAATTGTATCTGACCATTTGTTCTGCCTTTGAACAAGGGACAGACGCAAAAAAGAAAGTTTTGATTGGTGCAGCGATAAAAAACGTCCTAACGTCTTGTTCGACGTCATTCGTCTTCAATCGTGTCTTTTCGTAACCTTCATAAACTGATATTTTTCAATCATACGCACGGCAGCGATTGCATTTACCGTAACGGCAGGACACGTGATACTTCCTGCACTCATCATGACAGCCTTTTCAAGGCATAAGGTAATAACGCTACCAGTTTGTACTACTTGAAGTACTTTTTTTGTCGAAGAATAGTTCTTAAAGATGGGAATCTTGCAATTCTCTCCCGAGAAGTTTCATCGGCAACTATTGAAACGGAGGAAGAGCTTTGATGATGTTGAGTTCTTTTCGATTCATTGTATGTGCCGAGTCACATGTTTGATGTGACAATGAGCTGACGCATCGATCAAACCGAAAAAAAAATTCGTCACCCAAATACTTGTTTTATTTCGTGGAAAATGCGTATCACAGGAAACAGTCTGGATAGCGTCACGTCAAAGCTCTATGCTGCAGATATGTGAATTCGTGTCTCGTCATTGTCATCTCGATCATATAATGCACATACAGACTTCGGTCTGTATGGCCACACCCACTGATCGTCCCACAACGTGAACTGTACCGTTGCCGTTAATCCTCTGTCGTTCCAGTAATTGTCAGGCGCTAAACTTTGCATATGCCGCGGAAACATCACAATACATTTCTTGTAAGACACTTTTTGCATTTACGCAGCCTTATCTCAGCAACGATCAAAGTGATCAAAGATTAAAGTCGAAATACAAAAGAAAGAATCATAACGAGTAGAAAAATTATATTGTAATGCATCTTATATTGCCACATTATTGAAGCCGACACGTCTTTCGGTTTTTCAAGCGTGATAAGTACAAAAATGCAAAAATTACATTCTTTCGTATTTCTGAGCTGAAGATCTTGTTTGAGCGTGTATACAAACAATGCCTAAATTAAATGGGAACAGAGAGCCATCTTTATTTGATTTATGATACAAATTTAAAAATCTCACAAATCTCGGACAAAGTCCCTTTTTATATATAATAAATACTAAGATACCATTAAAAACGGCATGTAACTGACTGGTAGCTGCGTCTCAACCTTTGTCGTCATGACTTCTTCCATCGAGTCATCGGCGTTGCTGCGGACGACCAGCGCAGCGCTGAGTCCGTCGCAAAAGGTGCCAATTGCTTCCTTCTCTTCCTTCCCCAGCTCTACCCAAGCCCGTGCTCCCGGCCCTACTGAAGAAGGTTCCGCCTTCTCCTCTTTTCTCGGACTGGCCACAACCATGACGGGTGCCTGCGTATTGACACTTCCGGGCGTCCTACAGGCTGTGGGCCAAATCCCAGCACTTTTCCTGTTTGCTATGAGTGCGTGGCTGGCTTTCCACGCCTGTGAGATGCTCAGTGTGTGCTGTGACGCTGCCTGTGAGTTCTCGTACGAGGCGCTGAGCTCCCGACTTTTTGGAGCAGCAGGTGTGTGGTCCGTGCGGTTCCTGACACTTGTGCTGCTGTTTGGAGCCATTGTGAGCTATATGGTGATTGCTATGGACTTGCTCGAGCCGTTCTTGATCAACATTATGAGTCGTGGAACCATCGGGCTATTCTTCATGCTCGTGGCTATTCCATTGTGTCTACCAGAGACCATGCACGCGCTCCGCTTTGCCAACTTGTTGGTGCTGCTGTGTCTGCTCTATATTCTAGTGGCACTTGGGGTACGAACAGTGCAGAACGACCTCGAGTTTGCTGCTCAGATCCCAAGGAATCGCGCGGATGAATTCAATTCAAAGCTCGCGGCGGTGGCGTATGTACTACCCATTGTCATGTTGAGCTTCGTGTGTCAACTAAATGTTCCACGGGCGTACCAGGAGATCTACGACAAGACACAGATGACACTTGTGCACAAGGCACTCGTGGGATGGGGACTCTTTATCTATCTTCTCTTTGCGTACCTTGGATACGCGTGCTTCCACGGACAACCGCCAAGCGACATTCTCACAGGATTCGCGGCGGATGACATGCTCATCAACGGTGCACGTCTTGCGCTTGGTATCAGTATGGTACTCAAGACACCGATGACTTTCCAACCGCTGCGTCAGCTCGTGGAAATCTGCTGTTTGGGCCGCAATCGCGAGAGTTTACCATTCCGGACGGCGATCACTGTGGTCTTTTTGCTGCTCGCCTACTTACTTTCTGTATCCTCGCGTAATTTGGGCACTGTCATGGCTTTTGTCGGTTCAGTAGCGGGCAATTTACTCGCTCTCACGGTCCCAGGGCTCTTCCTGTACGAGATATCGCGTAGTTATCTCGTGGAACGTGACGCTTTCTACTCGTCGCGACTGGCGCTCACTTTTGTTTACGCTGGTGGAGTCTTTTCAGTGGCCTCACTTGCCTACCTGTCGTACAACGCGCTCGTGGGCTGAAGCCTGCATCGAAAGGTTACAGAGGCTATCGTCTCGTTTCGATGCTGACGAATACATGACAAGTTACGGCAGAATGTAAACCAAACAGGAACAGGTAGCAATACAATATCAAAGACGTTTCGCTTTCTCCCGTTAAGTAAGTACCGCCACTAAACGTGCACGTTTCTTGTCGTCCACGAGTCTATTTTATGTCGCAACCCATGAGCTTCTTGTTAAAGTTCTCGCGCTGGTTGTGCTGTTTGCTTTTCAGAATCTTGACTGTGCAGCAAACAGCACAGAATCTGCCCTCATCCTTGTCCTTGAGCGTGACATGGCTACCATCTGAGGTTGTTTTGCGGATCTCGGACGCCTTCTTCGAGCAGTTCTTGCAGACAGCGCGACCACACAATATACAGTCTTTCAAAGGTTCCAACAGGCTCTTCGGATTCCGGCAGATCTTGCAGCTACCACGTACAATGTCAGACGGAGCAACCTGTGAGCCTTCCGCCATAAAAGTAATGAGCTTTACCAGCAGTTTTTTTGGGATCGTGTCGCTCACCATGACGCCATTGTGGTCAGGCACGTTTATGGAAGCGCCTCCCTGCACCAACGCGCCACCAATTCCACCCAATTGACGATCCACAGCCATGTGCAAGTACGTGGTACCGTTCACGAGCTCATTCAGTGCTGCGCACGGCGCCAGAGCTCGCAGACCCATCGGTGATGATGAGGAGACTGTAGACGAGGACGACGGATCTTGCAGCTGTCGAAACTTATCGATAAAGAGCTTCGTAATGGTCACCGAAGTTTCAGGTTTGGCTGTCATGATGTGAATAGCCAGTGGCGTCTGGCCACGAATGTTTGTGGCTGATGGGTTGGCTCCCAAGTTCAGCAACAGCTCCACCATATCTGGCGCTTTGGATCTCGTACTGCTTGCAGCAAAGTGCAGTGCCGTGTTGCTATGTCGGTCCCCAGCATTCACATGCTCTGATATCTTTGGAAGCTTGGCAAGAGCACGCAGTACATCAAAATGGGCCTTCTTCGCTGCAATATGCAACGCACTCTGCTGATTCTTGCGGTCACGCAGCGCCAAGATGCCGGCGGACGACGTGACGCTGGAACATCGAGCGGCGACGGGCTCAATGTCATCATCGGGACTCCACTCGGTTGAGCTATCGCTCGAGTTGATGCTCGTAGCGGTGCTCGTGTGCGTTGGGTCTTCCAAATCATAGCCGTATTTCTGTAGCGTAGCAATAAGCAGCTTGGCTTTGGCGGTCTCTTTTTCATCCATCTTGGTTTCAATGTGGTTCGTTTGTTTACACTTGTGCCTATTGCGGACTGGGAAGAATCAAGTGTAACTGCTACTGGGACAGACAAATAACCACTTCGACTTGACACGTACGTATAGTTGGTAGCAAGTGAACGACTTGCGTTTTTAGCTACTGGAATTTTTATGGTTACTTAAGTGCGAGTTTAGAAATAGAAAGTGAACTGAGAGGGTAGGGGAGAGCTATTCTGTGAATACTTTAGAAAAATGTAATCGTCGCCAATCGAGACGTGATGGTTTCTGTACCGACCTAGAATACAGCATGGACACTTGGGGTATGCCTCATGAGAGTATTATTGATTCCAAAGTACGATTTGTGCGGGTGTACCACACCATCTATCAAAAGCTGATGCTTTGGAGCTCGTCGGAAGAAGCGCCATGGGCGGCGCTATGGGCACGTTATGACGACGTGTTGCAGTCATTGCAGGTAGAAAAACTATGCTTTGTAAAGTAGCTTTGCAATGACAGATGTCGCTGCTCTTTCGTATCTCAGATAAGCGAGCTGACGGAATTGGATGCTTGGTATCTGACCTCTTTTCCATCGATTCTGCGGACACGTGAACCTAAGCCGTTTATAACAAATAAGGAGCTACAACGACTTATGAAATGGAAGCTTAAAAAGGGCAAGTGGTGGGTGTTAGTAATTGTTAAAAGCTACAATCGACAGTAGAGTCACCTCTTGACTCTGCTCTGAATGAGGCAGGCGACCACAGTTGATGAAGTTTGTCATGGGACTGAGTGAAAAGGAGGTGACGAAAGCGTCATTGAAAGCATTTCAAGAGCTTAAGATTGGGGATTTACGGTCTGCTTTAGATGCACTCTGTGTGCTCAAAGGGGTACAGTTTTACTGACCATAACAAGCGACATGGTGTAGCCATAAGTGGAAACCACAATCGATGACGGTGGTTACTTTGTTCAGGTGGGACCTGCCACAGCGTCAGCGGTGATGGCAGCATACGATGAGAGTGTGCCGTTCATGGCAGACGAAGCGTTGGAGGCGATCGCTGGTGCGTTTGGCACGTATCTCGTAGCCTGTCGCTCTGATTAAAAGAATAAGTTTTGTCACTAATGCTTGAGGTTCGTGTCGTGTTGAGCATGTAGGAATTATTGGTCCTCGGAAGTACACACTCCCGCACTTTCTGAGCTTCGTGGACGCGTTACGCGCGAAGACAAGATGGCTGAATGAACAACGAGCTGCAAACGACAACGAGATAGCCGGAGCCACCGAAGTGTGGACGGCACAGCGTGTGCAGTTGTGTCTTTATGCGGAAGCGTACGACGGAAGATCCACTTCTACTACCACGAAGACGGCTGCAAAGCGGAAGCGACGTAACGTTGTGACGACATTACCTCTTGCTGAGAAAAAGGTGGGGAAGGTGCAAGAAGATGACGCAAAAGATCAATCATTGCGAAAATCATCGAGAAAGCGACAACGACCAGCGAGCTGAAAATTTACCCGAAGAACGCACAGCAAAAGTACGTGCCTAGCGAGGATTTAGTAGCAACAACAACCGTATGAAACACAAAGTAGCAATCTCATCAATTGTGCTGCTTTGGGGATACACTTTAGCTTTTACGTCCAGGTAGAGGCTTTCGGATTCACCACACGTAGCGCGTGTTTGTGATGAAAGCTTCTTTGACTTCAACTCGCTCCCCATCAATCCTCAAATCGCTTGACCGACCTCGGGATCGAGCATGCACACTGCGTCCTTGATCAACTCCCAGCCTGTCGATAACCTCGGGTGCATGTTTAGATTTACGCTTATTTTCTCCGCTCAACACACCTCGCCTTCGACAAGACGAAATGGATTGTCATCTCGTCTCTGCGCTGCTGTTGCACGTGTATTTTTCTGCATCCGCCGTGTTGTTGAAGTTGCTCACAGCTCGTTAAGCTCGCGAGTTTGTTTGTCATGCTCCTCGGCTAGTTGTTACATCGCGCCATGCACTTACTTCATGTTTGCTGGGTATTGCGTAGGTTTGTTGCAGTGCAAATGACTGTGTTAAGTACTTCCCACATCCAGTCCTGCCACGACAGCGTTTACGTGAGTCACAGGCGATCAGGGTGACGACAACGAGGCTTCTTTCTCTTCCTCTTCTCTGGCGTCAGTTATCGATGGTAGTGCAAACGTTCTGGTCTCAGGTGTCGAGCCTAAAAGACCCACTCTCCGCCTTTTCCTTTTTCTATTGTACTGCCTGTTCTTCTTTGTTATCATTACTTCGGTTGTCTCCACCTGTGGCATCATCAAGGTTTTCATGTATCGTTACCAGTCATTCCGGTCAAAAAGTGCGAAACAATTTCCCCATTGCGTCGGCGGCTTCGTCATGTCGGCGCTTTGCGCGCTCTCCGTGAAGTTTTTTCGTGCTGCCTGCCCACGTTTGAGCGTCTCGGCCCATTGGTAACAAGTCTTGCGCTTGATTCCAATTCCGTCCTGGCAAGTTCGTGTACTATAGTAGCTTTCGACGGGGCAAAGCTTCAGTTGATTTATTTTGCTCGCTTCATTCTTGAGCTATTCGTCGTCAAGCTAAATTTACCGTAGCAATACGCCCTACGGCCTTCTTTTTCCAGGTCAACAGCTCTCGGACCTTACGTCGATCCCGCTAGTATTCCTTTCACACAAGCAAGTTGCCATGCTGGGGCTTTCAACACTATTTATGGACCAATGTATGAGGGAATGAGCAAGTTTGGTAGCAGTTCATTGTACCCCAAGCCTTTAGCGTTGCTCGTTTCACTTGCTTCTTTTCCAAGAAAGACATGACTCGGTAAGTAAAGTTCACAAGCAGCATCTTGTTAGAAACGATCGTTTTTTGACAGGTTTGCAAGGTGTTGAAGGCAAGGGTTATACCCTGTGCCGGTAAGTTGCGACCGCACCCGAATTGGCTAATGTTGTGACATCTTAACAGATGTGGCGAAGCGGGATAGACGAAGACTACAGACTAGACATGGTATAGTCGCAGTTGACTCTACCGTACATGTTAAAGCACTAGCGAAGGAGAGTAGTTAATGCTTAATATATTTTACTTTTACTTCTACCTCTACGTGCACAAGTGCACCACTACTTCACTTCACTCTTACAGGTTATGAGCCCAACGGAACGTGCTGTGGGCAAGCCCAAACAGGCTATGCCTAACGTGGCAGTCGGCGACCCTAATCGGGTTAACGACGACCACCTCGAAGAAAAGTCGGCAGTGCCTGATGCGGCACTGGGCAAGGTGCTTGCCATGCTCGGAGACCTATCTGATCGGCTGAATCGGATGGAGGTCTCCCAGAAGGAGCATGCCGGTGGACACCGGAAGGACTCTGCGGAGTCAAGCGTCTTTGGTTCGGCTCTGGGAGCGGGTGGAGGGATGAACATCCAGGCCTTGGAACTTACCCCTCCCCGGAAGAGGTCACCGAACGACGTGTCGCCGGCTACGTACTTTGGAGCCAGGCGACACTACGAAGCTGATGATGCAAATCATCGAGCAGGCCATGTTGCAGCAGACCGCAACATGGGACAAGCACCGGAACCTGCACATTTTATGGCAGGGGTGCCAGGCTATTACCCCGGCGCGGGTATGCCGAACGTGATGCATGCCAATCTGGGACAACAGGTTGTGGGGATGCCAGACGCGCAACATCGGAAGCTTGCACTACAACCTTTTGATGGGAAGGAACTATACCATGGCCTTGGTAGTGGTTTCCTCGGATGGGGCAAGGAATTTGTGCGTCAAGTTGGTTTTGCCGAGCGTGCGTGTGGATTCACGTGGCCGGAAGACATCAAGGTGGATGTCTTAGGACAACACCTGGCCGGTAAGGCACAGACGTACTATCGTCGTCAAGTGGAGACTTGGTGGTGTGAAAGTCAAACCCTGGAGCATGCTATGCAAAGGCTGCTTCAGACCTTCAGCACCAAAATCACGCCTGCCCAAAGCATGAAATTGTTTACGGCTCCCAAGGCACCTCACAGAAGTTGGACGGACCATTTCCTGTACCTGACGGCAGTCAGTGATGCTTGCGGAGGGGCGGATACCCTGGTGTTGGATAACATCGTCCATTACGCGGACCCGCATATGCGAATGACCATGATGTCCAGGCTGGACATTCATCGAACCGACTGCTTGCGCCAAGCCGAGGAATTGGCACAGTTCGCCCAGTCAACGGAGATTGACAACCACGCGAAGCATCTCGGACGTGACGTGGTCAATGCTGTTGAACCAAGGAAGGAGCCAAGAGACAAGGTCAAGCACAAGGTGCTGAAAGAATCGAATGACAATGACCAACGGACGTGCTACAGGTGCGGCGAGGTGGGACATATCAAGTCGATGTGCCCCAAGAGACAGATGTCCAAAGTCCCAAGACCAAGTTTCACATTTGCGATCGACAATGGTGATCGTCTCCAAGACAATCACTGGATCCTCGACAGTGGGTCGAGCAGACACCTTGTCAACGACTTGTCTCTGCTCGTCAACCCGAGCGACTGTCGAAACGAATGCTTGACAGCTGCAACAGATGGAGGTGTGCTCCGGATTACCAAGCAAGGGAGTGTCAACATTGAAGTTGTTGCACTCGGGGTTGTGAATACTATCCGACTTCTCGATGTACAGTACGCCGCGAACCTCGAGCGAAACATCATCTCGTATGGTAAGCTCGAGGCTAAGGGATGTGTACTTGAGTACCGAGGAGAGAGACGTGTGTTAACCTCTGGGTTTGGAGGTGCACCGGTTATGGATGTGGAGTGCAATAACAATGTGCTAGTTGTTGCAGTGACAGGACCATGCAACAAGACCTCACATTTACCACCAAGGGAGATGACGGCTGCGATCAATTCACCTGAATATAAATCCGATTCGGATGTTCAGAGTGGTACCTTGATGCAATTCCATCGTCGCTTGGGTCACCTGTGTTACGAAACGATCATCAAGATGGCCAAAGACCCGGCATCTGGTATCAGGCTGACTGACACGAGGCGCATGAATTGCTTGGCCTGTGCACAAGGCAAGCAAACCAAAGCATCACAGTCAAGGAAAGACTCAGGCCAAAATTCTCCCATCGATGTGATCGGTGGAGTAATTTGCTCCGACCTCAAGGGCCCAATGACTCCAAGGGATCGTCTGGGTAACCGTTACCTGGTCAATTTCATTGACCACAGGTCAAATTATTGCCGTGTATTCTTGGCCAGATCCAAGGATGCTGCTGCCCTCAAGTTCAAGCACTTCCTGGTGAGCTTTGAACGAGAGTTCAATTGCAATATCCACGTACTACGCACGGACGGAGGTGGCGAATACAAGACCTTGGACGTGTTTTGTAAGGCGAATGGAGTCTCGCGTCAAGTCAGTGAAGCCAGAAATCAGGCAAGTAACGGCAAGGCTGAACGGATGCATCGGAAAATTATGAATATGGTCCGAAGCATGGTGTTTGCTTCAAACCTGCCTTTGCATTTCTGGGGCGACGCTGCTGAGTATGCAACATACATACTCAACAGAAGCAGGACCAAGTCGAATCCAGGTGGGGTGTCTCCGATGGAATTTCTGACCACGAAGGTGCCAAACCTGAACGACATCGTGGTGTTCGGCTCCACGTGCACGGTGCACGTGGATGCAAGGAACAAATCACTTGGAGAGCGAGGGAAGGCGGCCATCATAATTGGAAAGAGTGATGAGACTAAGGGATACAAAGTGTACATCCCCAAGGACAAGGTGGTCGTGGTAACGCAGCACGTACGCAACATCGAAACACTGTCGGATGGGCGTAACGGTCAAGACGACTCGTACACCGAAAGGATTGAACATCAGGAGGAGATATCAAACGATGATCAACAGAAGGTTCAAGTACCTTCAAGTGTCAAGAAACGGGCGGCGAAAGCTCGAAGTGGCCGTAAGTCCGGATGGACTAGGGAGCGACACGGCACAAGGTCAACGAGCAGACGTGCTAAGGAAGTTGTTGGTGAAGGCCCTGCTGAACGACAGGATGTCGTGAATGCAGTCATCACTCAAGATCCAAAGCATTATGGTGAAGCCATCCGAAGTGGTGATCGCCAGAAATGGACCACGGCTATGACTGAAGAGTTGGATGCTCTGAAGTCAAACGGCGTGTGGACGGTTGTACTACCACCAAAAGGTGCACACGTCTTGCACAACAAGTGGGTCTATAAGACCAAGACTGATGCAAACGGGGACGTGGAGAGGTACAAGGCTCGCCTGGTGGTCTGTGGGAACGAGCAAGTGTTTGGTGTCGATTATACCCTCACGTTTGCTGCCGTCATGGATTTGGGAACGGTAAAGTTGATTTTGGTGCTCTCCAGGCGTTGGAACGTGCCTGCCCGACATGGTGACGTGCCCAATGCCTACGTCAAGGCTGAAAAGGAGGAGCACCTTGACATCTACATGAAGGTGCCCAAGGGCATGGTTTTGAGCGACCAAGAGCTTAAGTCGCACGGCGTGCAAACATCAAGTGACCTGGTCCTCCTGT